GACAGAAAGTTGCTAAGAACATTACCAGATTGACAAAAAATTTTCGAAAATATCACTAAAGTCACAGAAAGTTACCTAAAACATTACACGAGTGTCAGACAGTTACTAAGACCATTACTAGAGAGACAGAAAGTTACTAAGAGCATTACCGGAGTAACAGAAAGTTTCTAAGACCAATAATAGAGTGGCATAAGTTACTAAAATTCTTACCGGAGTGACAGAAAGTAGCTAATAATATTACTAGAGTGACAAAAAGTTACTAAAACTATTACTAGAATGACAGAAAGGTACTAAGAACAATACTATAGTGACAAAAAGTTACTTAAAACATTACTCGAAAGTCAGAAAGTTACTAAGACTATTACTAGAGGGACAGGAAGATACTAAGAGCATTACCAGATTAACAGAATGTTTCTAAGACCATTAATAGAGTGGCATAAGTTACTAAAATTCTTACCGGAGTGACAGAAAGTAACTAATAATATTACTAGAGTGACAAAATATTGTTAAAAATATTACTGGAGTGTTAGAATTTTACTAGAGAGACAAAAAGTTACTCAGAACATTATTAGAGTTGCAGAAAGTATTTAAGACTATTTCTAGAGTGGCATAAGTTACTAAAATTGTTACCAGAGTGACAGAAAATTACTAAATATTACTAGAGTGACAGAAAGTTACTGAAAACATTACTCGAGTGTCAGAAAGTTACTTAGACTATCACTAGGGGGACAGAAAGTTGCTAAGAACATTACCAGATTGACAAAAAATTTTCGAAAATATCACTAAAGTCACAGAAAGTTACCTAAAACATTACACGAGTGTCAGACAGTTACTAAGACCATTACTAGAGAGACAGAAAGTTACTAAGAGCATTACCGGAGTAACAGAAAGTTTCTAAGACCAATAATAGAGTGGCATAAGTTACTAAAATTCTTACCGGAGTGACAGAAAGTAGCTAATAATATTACTAGAGTGACAAAAAGTTACTAAAACTATTACTAGAATGACAGAAAGGTACTAAGAACAATACTATAGTGACAAAAAGTTACTTAAAACATTACTCGAAAGTCAGAAAGTTACTAAGACTATTACTAGAGGGACAGGAAGATACTAAGAGCATTACCAGATTAACAGAATGTTTCTAAGACCATTAATAGAGTGGCATAAGTTACTAAAATTCTTACCGGAGTGACAGAAAGTAACTAATAATATTATTAGAGTGACAAAATATTGTTAAAAATATTACTGGAGTGTCAGAATTTTACTAGAGAGACAAAAAGTTACTCAGAACATTATTAGAGTTGCAGAGTGTATTTAAGACTATTTCTAGAGTGGCATAAGTTACTAAAATTGTTACCAGAGTGACAGAAAATTACTAAATATTACTAGAGTGACAGAAAGTTACTGAAAACATTACTCGAGTGTCAGAAAGTTACTTAGACTATTACTAGGTGGACAGAAAGTTGCTAAGAACATTACCAGATTGACAAAAAATTTTCGAAAATATCACTAAAGTCACAGAAAGTTACCTAAAACATTACTCGAGTGTCAGAAAGTTACTTAGACTATTACTAGGTGGACAGAAAGTTGCTAAGAACATTACCAGATTGACAAAAAATTTTCGAAAATATCACTAAAGTCACAGAAAGTTACCTAAAACATTACACGAGTGTCAGAAAGTTACTAAGACCATTACTAGAGAGACAGAAAGTTACTAAGAGCATTACCAGAGTAACAGAAAGTTTCTAAGACCAATAATAGAGTGGCATAAGTTACTAAAATTCTTACCGGAGTGACAGAAAGTAGCTAATAATATTACTAGAGTGACAAAAAGTTACTAAAACTATTACTAGAATGACAGAAAGGTACTAAGAACAATACTATAGTGACAAAAAGTTACTTAAAACATTACTCGAAAGTCAGAAAGTTACTAAGACTATTACTAGAGGGACAGGAAGATACTAAGAGCATTACCAGATTAACAGAATGTTTCTAAGACCATTAATAGAGTGGCATAAGTTACTAAAATTCTTACCGGAGTGACAGAAAGTAACTAATAATATTATTAGAGTGACAAAATATTGTTAAAAATATTACTGGAGTGTCAGAATTTTACTAGAGAGACAAAAAGTTACTCAGAACATTATTAGAGTTGCAGAGTGTATTTAAGACTATTTCTAGAGTGGCATAAGTTACTAAAATTGTTACCAGAGTGACAGAAAATTACTAAATATTACTAGAGTGACAGAAAGTTACTGAAAACATTACTCGAGTGTCAGAAAGTTACTTAGACTATTACTAGGTGGACAGAAAGTTGCTAAGAACATTACCAGATTGACAAAAAATTTTCGAAAATATCACTAAAGTCACAGAAAGTTACCTAAAACATTACACGAGTGTCAGAAAGTTACTAAGACCATTACTAGAGAGACAGAAAGTTACTAAGAGCATTACCAGAGTAACAGAAAGTTTCTAAGACCAATAATAGAGTGGCATAAGTTACTAAAATTCTTACCGGAGTGACAGAAAGTAGCTAATAATATTACTAGAGTGACAAAAAGTTACTAAAACTATTACTGGAGTGTCAGAATCTTACTAGAGAGACAAAAAGTTACTCAGAACATTATTAGAGTTGCAGAAAGTATTTAAGACTATTACAAGAGTGGCATAAGTTACTAAAATTGTTACCAAAGAGTGACAGAAAATTACTAAATATTACTAGAGTGACAAAAAGTTACTAAAACTATTACTAGAGTGGCAGAAAGTTACTAAGAACATTACTAGAGTGACAAAAAGTTACTAGAAACATTACTAGAGTGCCATAGGTTACTAAAAGCCTACTAAAGGATCAAATCGTTACTAGGATTGTTCCTAGATTGAAATTAAATTCAAAAATTGTTGCTAGGTTAAAAAAAGGTTAAAACTGAAAAACTAAAAAATATTTTCAAACAAATTACTAAAATTTCCCTTAAGTTTTGTTTATATTTACAATTAAAACGCAACATATATTTAATTCCTTCATATGGGAAGTATATATATACTTTTAAAGAAGCTTAATAATAATTATTATTATTCTTTTTTGTTTAAAAAATTTAAAGAAACATTTACACTGAACTTTCTCAAAAGTATAAAAAAAAAGGGCGTGCAAAATTGAAAACATAGAAATTTACAGTTTCAAAATTAGTATGCACCCTATGCATGGCATGAAGAAAATGAAGGTATACATACAACATTTGTGCGTAAAGCGTAAAGTGGATGCTGAATGCAGAGTACCATCTTGCACTCGAGTATACACACTTCATGGAAGTTGAAGATCTAAATGTGTACAAAACCGGTGCACGTGCATATATGTGGCAATACAAAGTCATTCTCAAGAAAATATTTTAGTTTACTCATTAAAAAAAAAAAAATAAAAAATAAAAAAAATACAATTCTTCCTTTCTTGGAATGTATGAAGAGAAAAGTTCATTTAGCATAATCTAATTAGTACCTCCATATAAGAATTTTTCAGATCGTTAACGCTTATTCATTTTTTTTCTCATTCCTACCGCGAGCAACACTTTACGTCGAGTGTTTGAAATTTTCCAAGAAATTCAAGAAATTTAACAAAAGCAGAATGAATTTAGAATTTTTTGCTAAATAGATTTTAAAACATATTGAGATTTGAATATGTATTTCAAAATGAGAAAGCATTAATTTCCCGCGGTGTTAAAAAAGGGAGGGAACATAATTTATAAGCTATTTTATAATTAGGATATTTATATTATATTATATACTATTATACTATTAGTATATAATAAATTATATAATATATATCCATTACTTTATGGGATAATTGCTGGTATAGAATTCTATATAATAGTTTTGTTTTAAAAGGAATCTATTACGTGTGTATATGTAGTTTAATTTTAAAATTACAAAACATGCAAACATTTTTAAAATTGCATGTAAACGAAATAATTCAATAATTAAATAATTGCATTAACTTTAGACATTATTGGAATTACTTTCTCAATTGCTCATTACTATATCTTAAATTGGAAGCACGCCGAGAGAGAATTAATATCAAAATGAAATGCGATGGTCTCGATAAAATCATGAGAGAGAAATATTATTTGTATACTTTGTAAATAATTGGACAATAATCATATACGCAATATTGTTTCTGATGCGAAGTATAATAAAGTAATAATTCTTAAAATTCAACTTTATGATTGAAATTAATTTTTAAACTAGAGTAAAATATATAAAAATAAATTTTTAAAAATTATTTTCTACTCTAGATGGAAAACAATTTATTTCTAACATAATTAGAATATTTTTAATCAATTTATTGTTAAATTTACTATTCTTAAATATAATTCTAAATTTAAGAATAAATTTTTAAAGAAGATTTTCAATTTTAGAATAAATTTTTTTCAATACGACTTTGAATAAAATTCATAGGAATATATTTTATTCTTAAATTTTGAGAATTAACTATACCAATATATATATTTTTTATATGACAAAAAATCATAATGTAATTATTCTTAAAAATCAAGTTTTTAAGCTTAAAACCAGAGTATAACGAAGTCATAAAGCCGAATTGGCTTTTTGGTGAAACCACAAAATGTCAGTAAAATACAGTTCTTTGGGGGGGAATTTTATTGCTACAGACATTTTTTGAACAAAAATACCGTTCATTTTTTTTTAATCACCATGTTACGTTTTCTTATTTAAGAAATTTATTTTTAAGGACCATTTTAAAAATGATACTTTCAGTTATAATTATATTTATTCCTTTTGAGTATTATAGAAAATATTTAAAATTATATATATTTCAATAATATTATAATTATTTGGCCTAAAATTTTATATGTAAAATTGTTTTTTGTAATTTTAATTTTATTATTGTTTTTTTTTTTCGTTAAATTCTTGGGTACCAAAAAATTCGCACGATCTCAAAAGAGGAGAACGCCATTTTGGGTGCATAGTTTGTGACTCGTAAACACACTTACCGGTCTTATATTCGACTGCAAGAAAAATACTCCTTGTAATGTAATCCACAAATAAAGAGTGAAAACAACATTTGTGCGTTAAAATTTTACACACGACAGCACAAACACTGAATTTTAAATCACTTTATATATATTCTTCACTGAATCAAAAACACTGTTGAAATAAAAGAAAATGAAAACAAAAATTTATCAGCACTGAATTCTAAATGATGTCGCTTCTTATCCGCGCATTGAAATTACCAGAACACCATTTCTGGCTTCTCTCTCTCTCTCTTTCTTTTACACACGCAATTATCACTGAAACGCAGAAATTACGTTTAAAAATTTTTTTTCTTAAATTCTTTATTTACGCCTCCAACACTTATCCAAAATGTGTGTTTTCACTTATTCGTATTCCCTATTCTCCAATTGATGCAAAAAATTGAAAGTGATTTTCTGTAAAAAGTTGTAACATGTTTTTTTATTCACACTTTTAGTATTTTTTTTTTTTTTTGCATAAAATTAAAACACAAAAAATTATTGAAGAAACATGATTTTTATATTCATCAGAAATGATTGTAGGGGAAAAAAAAGAATTCACTGACGTTTATTTTATTTTATTTTATTTTTTGGTTTTAAAGATTGAATTCATTAAGCGAACATATTTATATGTAAAAGCGAGCCGAATCGAAAAGGCAGTTGCACTAGGACTGATTCAAATGATCGTGGAGAGGATCGAGAGATCCGGCGACTCCAGGGAGTTCTCCATGATCCCCTCCTACACCTGTTCTTACCCTTTCCCTTCAGCTACGTCGTCACTTGACTGGGAACCCGTTCTCATGTAAAAAAAGATTATTTACTATTTATTTAAACATTTTTTTTTACTTAAAATATCATTACAATACTCAAATCAAGTTCAAAAATTGACAAATTTATAAAATATTAGTAAAAATGTTACAGGAGTGACAGAATCTTACTAGAGTGACAAAAAATTACTAAGAATATTACTGGTGTGATCAAAAGTTACTAAAAAAATTACTAGAGTGACAGAATCTTACTAGAGTGACAAAAAGTAAATAAAAACATTACTAAAGTAACAAAAAGTTACTGACAATATTACTAGAATGACAGAAAGTTACTAAGAACATTACTAGAGTGACAGAAAGTTACTAAGAACATTTCTAGAGTGACAAAATCTAACTAGAATGACAAAAAGTTACAAAGAATATTACTGGAGTAACAAAAAGTTACTCTAATTATTACTAGAGTGACAGAATCTTACTAGAATGATAAAAAGTTACTAAAAATATTACTGGAGTGACCAAAAGTTACTATAATTATTACTAGAATGACAGAAAGTTACTAAGAACATTACTAGAGTGACAGAAAGTTACTAATAACATTTCTGGAGTGACAGAATCTTACTAGAATGACAAAATGTTACTAAGAATATTACTGGAGTGACAGAATCTTACTAGAATGACAAAAAGTTACTAAAAATATTACTGGAGTGACAAAAAGTTACTCTAATTATTACTAGAGTGACAGAATATCACTAATAATATTATTGAAGTGACAGAATCTTACTAGAGTGACAAAAAGTAACTAAGAACATGAATATAGTGACAATATGTTACTAATAATATTACTAGAGTGACAGAATCTTACTAAAGTGACAAAAAGTAACTAAGAAGATTATTAGAGTGACAAAATGTTACTAATGATATTACTGGAGTGGCAGAATCTTACTAGAGTGACAAAAAGTAACTAAAAACATTACTAAAATAACAAAAAGTTACTGAAAATATTACTAAAATGGCAGAAAGTTACTAAGAACATTTCTAGGGTGACAGAGTCTTACTTGACTGATAAAAAGTTACTAAAAATATTACTGGAGTGACAAAAGTTACTAAAAATATTACAAGACTTTCAACATGTTACTAAGAATATTACTAGAATTAGAAAATGTTATTTTCAAATATAAAAATGAAAAAATACTCTTGGAATATAAATAATGAATTTATTTATTTAAAATGAAAAAATAAACAATTTTTTTTTTTTTTTTGCAAAACTTTTTCATTTAAAGCAAATTATTTTTTACGTTTTCCTTTTTTATTTCTTTATCTTTTTTCATTTGTGATGATTTAATTTTGCCAAACATTAATGATGATGAATTTTCATATTTTATTTTGTCAAAAATTTCTAATTGTTTTTCAACACTATTTCTATTGTTTTTCATTTCATTTATTGTCATATTACGAATTTCCTGTGGGGTTTTATTAATTTTTAAACTAATTGCATCAAATAGACAATCATTGTAATTAATGATTTTCTTTGTTTTTGGATATTTTTCATTTTTTCTCGTCCAACGACCACGTTTATGATATTCAACATCAATAAATGAAGAATTTGATTCATTATTCCAAATAACATAAAGTGGTGGTTTTTTGTATTTACTAACACGTATACTTCGTTTTATTGCCTTACTGACAAAACTCAAATGAAATAATCCAGCTGCTCCATTATTTTCCAAATTTGAAATTATTTCATCAATTTTCTCTTTTTTAAGATCATTGTTTTTATCACGTTTTTTTGGAATTATTTGTCTTGAATTTTTTGAACACGATATTGTTAGTGAACTTTTTTGTTTTGGTGTAAATTTTAATTTTTTATCCAATTTCTTATTGGGTCTCATTATTGGAAACTGGAAATAGAAAATATTTTTTAATTTTTCTATTTTTTCAAGATTATTCATTATAATCATTGAAAAATTAAATGGAATATAATTACGTTATGTTAAATTAATTACTTAATTAATTAATTAATTATTTAATTAATTACTTTTTGAAAATATAAAAACTTGTGCCTTTTTTTATAATTATAATTTTGATAAACAGAAATTAAAATTTACTGTCAAAAATAAGAGATCGTATGAACTGTCAAATGTTCTTGAAAGGACAACTTCATTTCATTCGGTTTAAAAAATAAATTTCTTTGAAAATTTTTTTGGAAAATTACAAATCCACTTTCTTTTAGTCCTCTTTTAAAATTTTCCAATTTTTTTTTTTTTTTTTTGAAATTTCTAAGGATTTAATTTTTTTTTTTTTTATTTTGAAATTTTCTAAAACAATTTTGGATAAATTGTTTTTACAAAAACATCAGCGAAAATATTTCCATAAGATGACCAATGATGTCCCAATATAAGTTTAACACTTTTTATTCGTCTTGGTTTTCCCACGGGTTTTCCCATTTCATATTCAATGCCAAGTGGAAGATTTTTGTAATCTAATTCATTTGCGAAAATTTCCACTTCTTCTTCAATTGAACCATTATTTAATCGATCCATTGCCTCCTCGGCAGTATCAGTATCGAGTGCCAAATGAGTCACAAAATCTTGATCGCTTCTATTCAAAAAAGCTGTAGTTCTTTTATTTTTCGAATAATTTTGCACCGATCCTAAATAATCTATACAAAATCATAAATTATTTTTTTTTATATAACGAACAAAAAAAATCAATTTGACAATTTTTTTTTTCTTATAAAACGAAATTTTTAATCAAAAATAAAATTAAAGAATAAAATGAAAATTAAATTGAAAATTAAATAAATTTTAAATGATCGATGGTAAAATTTTTAAATTAAAAAAAAAAATTTTTTAATTCATTTAATCATTGTATTTTTAGACTAACATTTTTAATTAAAAATATACGCGGAATATTTATTATCAATTTGAAAGTATTTTTTTTCATTTTGAAATTTATTTTCAAAAAAAATTCATTTTTTAAAAAAGTGTAGTACAAAAAATCCTCGCTAGGAGACAGTCGTTGACGGATTAATTAAAATTCAAAGTGAAATGCGATAATACCGACTGGAAAATTCCTTTCTATTAAATAATTTTTTTGATTTCTATTAAAAAAAAAATTCTTTTTTGAATTCTGAATTTTTAGTCTGGATAAATTAATTTATAATTTTTTTTTTTTATAAATAAATTACTATAATATAAAAAATAGTATTAAAGTTTTTTAAAAATAACAAAAAAAAGGTTAATTTTTTTAAAAATGAAATTTTTTTTCAAGAAATATAAATTAGGAATTACTCTTTGATTTTTTATAAGCAGCATGTGCTCGAGGAAAACCTTTCTCAAAATATGGATAGGAAACACCATTTTGCGATTTATTTAAAATTCTTTTCCCATCTTTCTCAGTTTTACCGATATATCGTGCTCCAATTAATACTGAATTCAATAGATTTATATTGTCATAAACATTGGTATTTTTGACAATTTTTTCAAATTTCCTATTACTCATTATATTTCTTCTTGAAAATTGTGGATTTATTTCAATATTTTTTTTTACTTTTGTCATATCTTCATTTTTGAAAACGATCTAATTTCCCAAAAAAAAAAAAATAAGGTTATATAATTTTATTTATTTTTTTTTTGTTTTATTTTTTATTATTTTTTTCAATTAATTTATTTTTCTTATAATAAAAAAATTTGTTATTCAAATCATTTCTTTTTTTTATTACTTTTATTGTTTTTTTTCTTATTTTATATTTTTAATACTTTTTCGAAATGTCACATTTTTTTTCACTGGCATAATAACACTTTGAAAGTAAAAATTGTTAGATTAATCAGCTGCATTCAAGTTTAATAAAAAAAAAAGAGAAAAATTTAATCTTTAATTTTCAAAATAAATTATATTTTTTATTTTATTGAAAAAAATGTAATAATAAAAATAAATAGTAAATAAATTATTACAAAAAAATATAATAAAAAAAAAATTATTTTTATCCATAATTTAAAAAGGTAAAAAAAAATTATCAAAAATAAGTTACGAAATCAAAAAAATACTTTTTAAATAATTTTTTTATTGTTCTTTTTTTTGGTTTACTTCTTTTCATTTCTGTGATAAATAAATTGACACCCGAAATAATTTCACTACACAAACAAAAATTTGACAATGATGATATTCTATTATTATTTATATTTTGAAAAAATTCGTCAAAAAATGTTTTTGTCGTTCCCTTTTTCCAAAGTAGAAATAACGGTGGATTTCGCGGTGTATAAATTTGGCTGTTTAATTGTATTAAATTGCTGATAAAACCAAGTTTCATTGACAATGAATTATTTTGTAAATTTTTCTTTAAAACATTTTCATGAATTTCACAATGACTAAATACATTTTCACATAATTTTTTTGTTTTTACTTTCGTTACAAGTGGCATTTTTTTTAAACAAGACTTTGTAATTCGCGATCCTTTAAATTTATTATAATTTTCTTTTGATTCTTTTGTATTTTTTTTTCGTGGTGCCATGTTTTGATTTTTTGCCAAAATAAATTCATTACCTGTGTCAAAGAATTTAATTTAATTTTTTTTTTTGAAATTAAAAAATTTTGTTTACTAAATTAAATTGAAATGTTAAAGATGATTTTTTTTACATACTTGAAATGTCAAAATTTTTCAACAAACCAGCCGAATTTAATTTTTAACTGTCAAATTTTTATGTTTTGTAATTTTTCCCAACTATATAGCGACTACCTTCACTTTTTTAAAGTTTGTGAAGACGTTTTTAATTGTTTTGCAAAAAAAAAAAAAATTATTATATTTATTTAAAAAGAAAACTTTTAACATTTATTTTTATAATATATTTAATTAATAATACTTTAACGTTGCAGAATATTGATTTTAGAAAAAAATTTCAATAACTAACAATTTAAAATTTACCGCTAATTTCATATTTTTTTACGCCATCTGTGATGTAAATTCTCAATTGTGTTTTCAATTGGCGCAAAAAGTGTCGCCACTGACAATTGTCAGCTTTCATCAAATACCATCATTCAATATAATCAGAATTTTGTTTTTTTATATATTTTTTATACAAAATGCATTTAATTTTATTTTTTTATACACAACATTTTTATTTCACATCATTATTAATTTATTTAATGTATTTTTGATATAATTTGCTTTATATCCAATTTGAATTTTCGCGCGTTAAAATTGTCTCTTGGTTAGTTTTTCAGTTCGCCGTTAGATGTCAGACTGTGTAAATTTTTTTATCTCTTGACAGTTGTGATAAAATCCCGGAAGGAAAACATTAATAAAATACATATTGTCATTTGAATCATTATTGGTAATATATAATTTTTATAACATTGTTTTTTTTAACTTTATTTTGAAAAGAAAAAACCTAAGTGTTATAAAGTTAGTGTCGAGTGTCAGTGTAGTACTGGTAGCAGGTAGCTAGAGATCATGTTCTGGCAAAGCAGTTTGTCAACTTATGTTTTGATCAATAATAATTTATTATTGTTTCAATTATTAAATTTTTGATTAATTTAAAGTGATAAATAATGCAGACAAAAAGTTTTAAGTAATTACTGAGGCAATTTATTATGATCACGTCAAATTTTGCAAAACATAACCTCAGTGATTTCGATATTTTTTTTTAAATTGTGTAAGTAAATTTTCTACGCTTTTTAAAAATGAAAATTTTATCAAAAATAATTGTTCTAATAATTGTGTTTGTAAATTATTTATTGTTTATAATTATTTAAAAAAAATGGGAAAGAAAAATTAATTATTTCAAGGTTGGTATTAGGAATATTCATCGTTGATTGGTTATTTAAATTTATTGCATTTTTTGAATATCGACGCGTTGATTGGCTGTTCAATTTATTGATTTTCTGCAATTTGGCGCGAATTTGCCGTTGTTGTGAGACACTTGTGAGAAAAATTGTCGTTGATATCTGCAGTAATTGTGTTTAATTTTTCACTAAAAAGTTAATATTTAATCGTTATTTAATTATTTATTATTGTACATGAGTGTTAAGTGAAGTGTATATATATTTCGTATAAATACAATAGTAAAAATCTGTTACTGTTACATGCATTGTGAAATTAATATAAATTGACAGAAATTTTTAAAGGTTAACTTTTTCACGATCGAAATTAATTTATATTTAACTTTGAAAAATATTACAAATTATAAGTTTTGTTGCAATTAATATTAAATTAAAAATCGATATATTATAATAAAAATTCCATTTTTTAGGTTATAAAATATGAATGACGTGAAATTAAAAATTTGCAATATTAAAATGTTTTTTTTTCAGATTTTCCTTCATCTCTCATGTCATTCATTGTTCAGCATTTGGATTACGATGAATATTATGTCGAATATAAAAATCAGCATCATGAAGCATATCGTAAATTCAATGATTTCGTTAAAATTCGAAAAAGGGAACAAATTTCTACATCGAAGTGGTGAGTTATATATATAAAAATAAATAAAATTAGTTTATAATTGGAATATTCTATAAAAGTTTTTTTTTTATATTAGATAATTTTATCTCTTTATTTGCATTTTTTTACATTAAATTAAATATTTTTTTTTTAAATACATTTTAGTTGAAGAAATAATTAAAATTTATATATAATTGAAAAGGCAAAGAAATTGAAAAATAAATATAAAATAAAAAAACAAAGATAAAATAAAACAACAACTAATAATAATAAAATAAAAATGAATTTTGATAAAAGAGAAAAATAATATAATAAATTATAATTATTAATAATTAATTGACCGGAATTTTGAGACAAATAAATAAAATAAAAACAATAATAATAAAAATAAATTTGAGAAAAAATGAAAAATATATAATGAATTATAATTATTAATTAATTAATTATCTGTGGGCTTTTGGGGCAAATAAAATAAAAATATAATAATAATAAAATGAATATAAATTTTTGATGAAATTAAATTATAATTTATTAATAAACTGTGAGCTTTTGAGACAAATAAATTAATTGAAAATATGATCAAGTGAGTTAACAATTGAAACGAAATTAATTTTTATAGTACAATGAATTTTGTGTGGTACTTAACAAATACTATAAAGTAAAGCCAAGGTTATGTGGTACATACATCATGTTAATTCCAGAAATTCAACAACCGTGAGTTAATTACGTCACGTGAGACTATTAATGCCAGACGGAATGGACACCGCGATGTACAATGTTGGGCCATTTAGGCCCTTCTATGTATATATATATATATATATATATATATATTATGTATAGGCGACTTTGCCGACCCTCGTTACTTGAGACGTTATAATTAAGACCTTCTGTCCCATTTCCAAGAACGGCGATTTGTTACATCGGCTTTTGATTAAATACCATGAAACTTTAGTCTCAAGTGCTCATTATTCTTGATCATACTTATATTTTTTTAAAAAACAAATCCTTTCATTATTTTTTTGCTAATCAACTTTTTTTTTACTCTCTATTTTGTAAATTAATACTCAAAATATATAACAATTTTAAATCTCAAGAAGAAAAATTTTTAAAAATTCATTTTAATTTTTACAGTAAAAAAATATTTTTGATCCGTTTATAGAATATAATTTTTAATTAATACAAATTTTAATTTAACTTTTAATTAATGAAAAAATAAAATGAAAACAATATTCTAGAATTGAACATTTTATTAAAAAATTAAATTAAAAAAAAATTAAATGGTCCATATATAGAAATTCGTGAAGTCTTAAAATATATTTCTCTTGATTAAAGCTCATTTGGGAGGTGGGGGGGGGGGCGGTTTAAAAAAAAAACTGCAACTGGAATAAAGGATGGTTCATTGATAGCGCGCACACTTGGTCTCTTTCTCTCTACCTTGCCTCACTTAATTTTCTGGTTAAAAGTGGTTGTTCCTTCAGGTCTAGGTTTTAGTCGTTATTACTTCAGAGAGCGCGTTTAATTAGCCTCTTGGAAACCCTGGGCGCTATATTTGGCGTATAATAGCGTTTCATGTTTTATAGTATTTTTTTTTTTTATTTTTTTAATTCCTTAAGACGGAAAACTCTTTTTAACCTCTTAACGACCAATCTCTGAAAACGCTTTTCAAAGCTGTTTTATATATATATATATACATTTATTCTTAATTCAGAATACATCTCTTATTAATTAACCCGTCTCTTATACTTGATTTTTTTGCATTTTATTTTTAAAATGCAATTCCTTCAGTGTATATTATATTTTTATTATACACAAGGATTCATTCAAGTTGATTAATATTTTTCCTTTGAGTCTATGAAACATTGTTTTATCATTTTTCTCACAAACGAAGTTTTGTGCACAAGAACAAAAAAACACTTGAAATATATTTTAATTGCAAATAGAAAAAAGAAAGCGATTTAATAAAAAAGTAATTCTAATTCTTATAAAAAGAATTTTTTTTGTGAATTTTCGTCGATATATATATATATATATATATATATAGATACAATAAAAGAGTCGAGTGAAAAAAATAGTCCTTTAAAAGGATAAAAGCGTCGCCATTTATTTTCGCGGCTCGTTACTGTTTCCACAATCGTAAAAAAGAGAAACAGCATGTCTAATGGATTCGGTGAATGTAACGAGAGAAAAAAAAGGGAAGGCATTTGAAAACTACTGGTTATGTTTTTGAATGGATACAATATTTATTTGTATAACGAATTAAAAGGAAAATATTTCTTTAATTAGTATTAGAAATAATTCTCGATTATTGCAAATTGTTACACACAAACAATTTTATTGTTTGATATTTGAGAATATTTTTCTCTTTATATATATATATAAATCATTATAAAATTTTTTTTCTTTAAATCGGAAATAATAATATATTTTTTTAAAAATATTATTAATCTATTAACAAACGTGAAATTTTATTTAAAAAAAAAATATTTTTCGTTTAAAATTAAAATAAAATATGAGAATTAGAAAATAGAATAAAATTATACATTTGTATATTTTATAATAATACACGTAGTCTATAAACTAGAGTATGTACATAATTTCTATTTTCAATTGCATTTGCACAATAATTAATTATTGTAGTCTTTTAGTCTTCTAGCATAAATTAGATACAAATTTTCCCTTCTCACTTTTATTTTTCAAATTTAGTTTTGTATCTTATTTTTTTGTTCTAAAACTATTTGTACTAAATAGAAATTTTATTGGACGGAATGAGTTCGTTTTCTTTTATCTAAGCGTAATGAACTGCTTTTAATAATTCTTAAAATTAATAGCTCTGTTATTAACAGAAAATTCTTACACACTATTTACAATATACTTGAGATTCTTTTTTTATGAAAAAATTCATTATAATCTCAATATAGTTTAAAGAAGGTGTGTATAAAAAATTTATCTTTCTGTACTTTCGATTAATCACAAATATTATTTAAAAGCTTAAAAACGGACGGTTTTGTTCTATTATTTAGTAATATAATTAAATCGAAGGCTGTTTCATTTTTTACAGTAAAAAACGCTTTTCTTGAATTAACCAGAATTCTGGATAAATAAAAAAAATTTTTTTTCGAGTATATTTTTTAGTATCATACATTATTGAATTTTTTTTTTTTTAAATTCTGTCACGTAATGTACGATACTCAATAATTTTAAAAATCGTTGTGAAATGATTTTTAAAAAATATTTTGTATATTATTATTAAAAAACAAGAATTTTTGAAAAATTCTTGAAAATTAAAAATTTTACCGCCAAAAGAAAATTAAGGGAATTATTGCCATTATGGATAGATAAAAAAATGAAATTCCTTTAAAGCTTGAGGCCCCATTGCAATAATCTTCGGAACAATAACATTCTTCCCAATATACTCCATTTTCGTAAATTCCCCAATTACAAACACCTGTAACTCCAGTTTCTGCCACTGAGGCACATCTTCGAATTACTTGTCTCCATCTACCGTCCCCTTAATAGAAAAAAGAAACAATTTTAATACAAAATTCGTTTTTTAAATTTATTTAAAAAAATTAAATTTTTTATAATTTTTTTTATTATTAAATAAATTGTTTATTTAATAATACAAAAAATAATAATGAAATTAAAAATTATATTAATTAATAATAACAATAATTATATTATTAATAGGTCATAATTAATTATAATTTAATTTGATAAATTTTTGTAAATAATGAAACAAAAAATACACTTACAAATAAAACCACGTGGACTTTGTTGTACATGTTTAACACAAAACGATCCAGGCATGTGAGATTCTTCTGTATTACATTCTATGGCAATATTTGTTTCTTTATCAAATTTATTATATGCTCCACAAACATCCGCACCTTTTGGGTCTGTATCTGAACTACATTGATAACATTTTATCGACTCCGAACCTAAAATTAAAATTTTTCTACAATTATTTTATTTATATAATAAATTACACAAGTTATTATAATAATAATAATTTTATTAATATATCGAGAAAGGAATAATAATAATAATTAAACTTGATTAATTTTATTACAATTTAATTACACGGCAAAAATTTTTAGTTACACAAAACTAAATTGTCAAAATATATTTTTTCATTATAGAGTAATTTAATAATAAAAATAAATAAATAAATTTATAAACAATAAAATATTAATTATTTGCATATAATTTAAATTAGTTAAAAAAATAAAATCAGTTACTAATTAAAATAATATTTTTACTAATCGTTTAGATAAATAATTCATTATTACTTAAATAATATATATACAAAACAGATTTATTGTTATTGTAAAAAGTCAACTTAGATTTTTATTAACTAATTCAGATTTAGTATTGACCATTAAAAAATAATAATTTATTATCTAATAATTATTTATTATTTTATAATACTATATTCTTGAGAAACAAACACATAACCGCATTTCAAGATGGAAGATGAGAATAGAAATAATGCTTTTGATAATTGTTTTTATTATTTCTACTAAAACTTGACAAAAAAAATTATTAATCGACTCACCAAAAAACATGCACAATAATGTTACACATAATATTATAAATTTTATTGTTTTTGATGTCATTTTTAATAATTTATTTTAATTTTTTTTTTCAGATTCTATATTACGTCCACTGGCACTTATGCTTTTCACTGTATACACCTGACGTCATTCCTTTGGGTGTGCCGCTCACGATGACTCGATCTCCCACCCTCAACTGCAACGCAACCAATTTCTATCCCAGGTACGTACATAATAAAAAAATTACCCCTTTCTTTAACTAAAAATAATTTTTTTTTACATCTTATTCAAAAATTTTCCAACGACATTCATTCACATAATATTAGTGATAAATTTAAAATCTTTGCGATTAGGTATCTCTAAAATTTACCCATATAAATTTTTTGGTCCATTGTAGCTCGGATGCTGTTGGTCCATTTGAAAAATTCCCCGTACACTTTTTATAGAACACAATCTGGAGATAACTCTCCTACTATTCCTGAGAGTTTATCTCGAAAATTTTTGTCCTCTTTGGTCCATTGTAGCTCGGATGCTGTTGGTCCATTTGAAAAGTGCCCTATACAATAATATTATATAGTCATAAATTTAAAATCTTTGCGATTAGGTACCTCTAAAATTTACCAAAATAAATTTTTTGGTCCATTGTAGCTTGGATGCTGTTGGTCCATTTGAAAAGTGCCGTATACAATAATATTATATAGTGATAAATTTAAAATTTTTGCGATTAGGTACCTCTAAAATTTACCAATATAAATTTGTTGGTCCATTGTAGCTCGGATGCTGTTGGTCCATTTGAAAAGTGCCCTATACAATAATATTATATAGTGATAAATTTAAAATTTTTGCGATTAGGTACCTCTAAAATTTACCAATATAAATTTTATGGTCCATTGTAGCTCGGATGCTGTTGGTCCATTTGAAAAATTCCCCATACATTTTTTATGGAATACAATCTGGAGATAACTCTCCTACTATTCCTAAGAGTTTATCTCGAAAATTTTTGTCCTCTTTGGTCCGTTGTAGCTCGGATGCTGTTGGTCCATTTGAAAAGTGCCCCATACAATAATATTATATAGTGATAAATTAAAAATCTTTGCGATTAGGTACCTCTAAAATTTACCAATATAAATTTTTTGGTCCATTGTAGCTCGGATGCTGTTGGTCCATTTGAAAAATTCCCCATACATTTTTTATAGAATACAATCTGGAGGTAACTCTCCTAATATTCCTGAGAGTTTATCTCGAAAATTTTTGTCCTCTTTGGTCCATTGTAACTCGGATGCTGTTGGTCCTATAAAAATACATTGTTACTATTTATTAAAATTTTTTAATTCTAGAATATTTTTATTTTTAAATATTAATATAAGTTAAAAAGCCGTGTTATCGGTTTCGTTTATTTGAAAAGATAAAAATTTTGTTGTGTGCAAAGGTTTTTGCTTTTATATACACAGTAAAACTCAGTGAAAATATATGGTAAAAAAAGGGTATATATATAATACTGAATGTAGAATCAAATTCTTTTAAAAAGTCTTTTTTGAAATCCCTTTGAATGTGAGGAAGAGAGAAAATGCGAAGTGAAATAAATCTTTTTGTGATATTTGAAATGGTATGAGAGAAGGATGGTTGAACGAATCCATGTTTTCACATAGCTTCTGGTTATTCTACTGTAGATTGGAATATATGTCAGAGTTGAACTTTTCACATTAAGGATTAAGATATGGTTTAAAGGATATATAAAGCAGGAATTTAAGCTACTTTTTTATATTTATATGTCTTAAATGGGAATTTTATTACTTTTCTAAAAATTAAATATCTTTTTATAAAATTATAAATATAATTACATTTTTTATAATCGAAAATAATATCAACTTTTGCTATATGCTAAAAAGAAAAATTTTTGTAAAGAATATTTTGAAAGAGTTTAAAGAATTATTTTATGTAAAATAATTTTGAATATGGCAAGATTATTTTAAATTACCATGTGACAAAATTAATTAGCTTTTTGAGCGTTTAATCAAAAGATATTATTTATATACACATTTTCGAGAGAATATATATATATATATATATCCGTTTGTCAGAGTCGAAAGTTGTGTATTATATTTTCGTAAACCTGGTTGTACCCCATAAACCATCTGGCCACAGATAAGAAAGCCACAGGGAAAATATGGCGAGCAACGAGCCATGGCATATAATCTAAAATTACTAAGAGAACATGTACCAAACTATATAATAGAAGTGCCCCCCCCTCTCCCTTCATCTCTAAGCTTTAACCCAAAAACTGGTTACGAAGTGGCTGCCATTGTTGCTGGACGAAGCATTGTTCGCGTAACTACTTCGGGTAATTGGCTGTTTTTGTCAATTACGCGGCAAATTCACCATGGTCCACATTTACTATATATATATATATATATATATATATATATATATATATATATATATATATATACATATATGCCATTAGCTTTCAGGCACTTTCAGGTATGCGAATTGTTGCCTACTTGAACGCTAAATTGCAATTTCGTTTTGTTTCCGTTCCAATCGAAATTTTGTTTCTTATTTTGATTACTTAGAAAAAAAAAATTTTTTTGCGAGAGGAAAAAAAAAGCATTTCTAATTTTAAGAATTTAATAATTTAATTCAAAAATTATTTTATCAAATTCTTTACAACACGCGTACATTTTGAAATGCAATAAAATTGTGCCTCGTAGGTGGCGCCACTCTACGTCATTGGCTCATTTTTAACTGTAAACAAAAATGTGCCTCGTAGGTGGCGCCACGTTCGCTCACATTGAACTGCAACAAAAATGTGTCGAGGTTTTTATTGATAATTAAGTAGGCGATTATTTGAATGAAATAAATTTTTTTCATTGTATATATGTGATTACGCGGTGTTTAAGGAGCGTATAAATGAAGAAAGAATATATATGTTTAAAAAAGGGTACTTGACGTTGAGTTCAAGACAAGTGGGACATAAGAAGGGTTTGATGGTTTGTACGCACATCTCACCTCGTTGTGTAAATTATTCAAAGCAACCCTCTCTTATATGATATATAGTGGCGCCCTTACAGTTGGCACCCACAATCTATTCTCTTGCACCTACACTCTCAACCTCCAACTTCCTTCCTTTATATACCTTCATCTCTTCTTCATATATTCTCCTTTCTTTTTCTTTCTCATAGCACTTTTTTTTCTTCATTTTTCTATATACAATATATATATATATATATATATATATATATATATATATATATTTCCTCTTGGTCCTCTTTCGTTTTCTGGCAGCAACAGTGCCTTCGGGGAATTCCTAGTTTTCTGACAGCCGCCACCGCATTTATCTCATCCAGCAATTCCAGACGGGCTTACAAAGGAAGTCCAGAATCCAATAAGTCCGATAACTCGCACCGTTTGTGTGTAGTTTCGCGTATACGTCCATAAGACCGTATAAAGTGTCAGTGTCGTTTTAATAAATAACCCACTGGACACAAAAATCATTTCTATATTTTTATTTTATTCGCGTCTGTAAAGAATTTTCGTTTAGTTTAATCCTTTCGTTTTTGTATATATATAGAAAAGAAAACAGTTATAAATTTTATTCTAGAAAGATTTATATTAACAGCAATATTTAATTTTACGTAAAAAGAATTTAACAGAAAGATTTCTCTTTTTTTATACTAATTTTTTACTTAAAAAAAATTTTTTTTGCTAATTCACTGAATTTTTATTTGTCCGAATTTTAATTTGTATTAATTTTAATTTGTACTAATTTTTATATTTTTAATTGATAGATTTTTTAAGACGTCGAATTTTCATTTGTCCGAAATTACAAATGTCCGAATAAACAATCGACAGAAAGATTTCGGTGCAATTTTTTTAAATTGTCCAATTAAAAATTTTAACAGAAAATCGTGATTGGTCAATTTTAAAAATTGCGCCGAAATCTTTCTGTCGATTGTTTATTTGGACAACTGTAATTTCGAACAAATGAAAATTCGGCATCTTAAAAATTCTATCAATAAAAAATACGTATATAAATAAAAAATCGGTGAATTGGAATTTTGTCATTTAAAAATTCGATTGAATGAGAAATTAAAATTAAAATTCCCTAAAATTAAAATTCGATTAAATTAAAATTCTTTTAAATAAAAATTCATCGAAAAGAAATGATTGTAATATAAAAATTCTGTCAAAAATTTGATATAGCTAAAAATTTTGTTAAGTAAAAATTTGTATAAAAAGAAATTCTTTCAAATGGTAATTCGAAAAATGAAAATTGGAGAAAAAAATAATTATTTCTAATTCTTTAAAATGAAAATTCAAATTAATGATTTTTATGTGATAATCATGCACCCCATGTCGCAGTAGCAATATTCCCCCCCCCATCGTTTTCTTTTCTGCCACACATAGGAAAGTACTTTCCATTTGGAAAGAAGATTTTGAGAAACGTATCAGAATCAGTATCTCTGTGCCAGTGTTAGTCTCCTTTACTTTTTTCCCATTTCATGAATCGATTCTAACACCTTTTAAGACTACATATATGTACTTACGACGATATATCTACATATATATGGAGAAAATAGTCGGGGAAAATGGTATCGTCTTGATAATACATTGCTCTAAAAGTTTGGCATGTAAATATATATGTACACATATATATATATTCTTGAGCTTCAGTTACAGCGAAAAAAAAACGTGCGGCAAACCAATATCGTTAGAACCCCCTTTTTGACAAAATGTATTCGTATAAATATTTTCAAGAATAAAATTGCGGAAAATGCTTTCTAGAGATTTTAGAATATCATTTACTTTTATAAATATCGTATATGATTTATTTTTTTGTAATTTTTTAAGATTTTACTCTCAATGTCTGATTTTAAATATATATATTTAAAATCAGACATTGATTTTTCGATAATTTCAATTACCAATAAAACTGATTTTTTTTTTTTTATTATGAAAAAAAATTATTTATTGTATTATAAATTATTATTTCTTTTTTTCAGCTTTCCTCATTTGATGGACTATTTGGCAGAAAATCAAGCTTTCGGTAAATGAGAAATTTAAGTCATTAAAACTCGGTCTCCTTGTAAGGATTATTTTCCAAAAATTTGGATTTTAACCTAGAGGAGGGATCTCCGGGGAAAAATGACTTAAAGATTATTATCTGACCGGGGTTGGTCGTCCTACGTTCGAGGGAATTAATTAGAATTGTGAGTAATTATTAAATTTCTTTATAATTATTTTTAATTATTTATAATAGTCAATTAACCGATTATTTGAAACAAATATAAATTTTTGTTTTACTATTTCAAGTCGTCACTCTTTAAATTTAAATTAATGAAAAGTGAGCTACTAATTCACATTAGTAAGAATTTTTACTAATTTTAGATTTAGAGAATAGAATCAATTTTTACATATATAGAGGTATTAAAAAAAGTTTCTTTCTGAAATTAAGAATATATTTTTCATTAAAAGAAAGAAAAAATTTTCATATTTGCAAAACAGAATAATTTTCCTCTAATATTTTCATGAGGATTTATTAAAAATCTCTCCAAAAATTAAATTGTTTCTTATTATAAAATAAAAAAAGTATAATGAAATTTAGAGTGAATTTTTGAAACGTGTGTGCGAATTTAATGAAAAAAATTAATATGGTGGGAATTTTGAATCTTTTTTGGTATATATATTCAAGAATCGTCGTCGACGTCGTCTTTGGGAAAAGTCGTCGCCGCGTCGACAAAAAGCAACTAAAAGGACTTTCTTTATACCACTCAGAGATAATTTTAATGAGATTGGTGAGAGAAAATACAAGACAAGTAATAGTATATATATATATATATATAAGTAAAAGATGGAAGCAAGATAAAGAAAAGCTAGATAACAGAGCATCGACTTAATGGAAGAGCCCATGCAGTTGAATAAATAAAGAGCTAATGACAAAAAAGAGCAAAAAAAAAAAAATAATAATATATATATAGTCGACTCCTCGAGGATATATATTTTCGAACATTGTGAGAATTTTAAAAGACTGCTGGAAAGAAGATTGGGAATGCGGAGCTTTCGCCAATAAATTAGGCTTCTCCCTTCTTGTTCCTGACATTGCATTGATTTCCAAGCGAGAGAAAAGTATTTTTCCAACCCCCCTGTAAGAATGAAAAATTTATCGACATCTGAAGTTGAAGTCTAAAAAATCATTGAATAATCTAAATGTCTAAATTCATTATTAGATCGAAGAAAAAATATTTAGAGAAAATTGTTCTTTTATTAGTCAATTTTTTTTTTCCTATGAAAATTATTCTGCTATACAGTATATTTGCAAAAAGAATTTCAAAGGAAAATATTTTTCCTTAGTCTTTTTTCAGAGAAAAATATATTTTTAGAGAACATCATATTTGAATCTTTTCTCTTGCTATTTGAAAATTATTCTTTATTTTTTTTTTTGCTAACAATTTTTTGTTAAAACAAAACTTAATATGGTATTTCTTTTTTCAAACAACATTATTTTTTTTGAATGCAGTTAATATTTTTTATTACAAATTTATGAGCATAAAAAGAATCATTTCAAATGAATTAAAAATATTTTATATATATTCTTTTGTGAGAAGTTATTTTATTGTGATTTTATTTTCATATATATATATATATATATATGATAAAAGTTCTTTTGTGCACAAAGAGATGCATTTATACATATACTGTAAAAATTTTGTATATAAGTATAAAAGAACCTGTTTCATATATATATATATATATATATATGTGATCCTTTTGAAGTATTATTTATAAAAAAAATTTCTTATTTCTTTTTCAATTTTTTATAGAAACAAAATTAGAAATTAGTTTTTCCACTCGCGAAAATTAGTATAATTATATATATATATATATACTGTACTTGATAAAATCATAATGAGGAAAAAAAAACAATGACCCCTTGAGATGAGAATTAAAACTTGAAATGTGTTTTGCTTACCCCTGGAGAAATACTTCTTCATTAGGACATTAAGATAAAAATAAATTAGTACGAGATGTGAAAAATGGAAGCTGCAGGAAGTTTTCTGTATATACTAAATACTAAGAGAAGCAGAAATGATGCTCTTAACTCGAATTTATTTTTCATTTCACGTTTTTTTTTCGTGAAAAGGTGGGGGGTTAGGAGAGCCAGTTATAATTATGAATAATAGACTGATAAATTTCCGAATAATTATTCTTAATATCCACGCATTGTTTCTTTATTCATTTTTTGATGGATTGCGTATATTATAATTTTGAATATTGACTGAGAAATTTATTTTTTATTAGACAATTATTTTCGCAAATATTTAATTAATAAAATATTTTTATGAGATAAGACAACAATAAAAAAACACATTAGATAATTTGGAAATTTTGACAGAAAATTTTTGTAGCTATATATAATAAAAGGAAAGTGGGAGAAAAATAATGTATTCGTCTGGCGGACAACGTTCTGGTTCGTTCGGTAGTAACCAGTAACCGTACAAAGCTATGACGACGTGCCTGAGGCGAGTTGAATATTTCATAGAGTAGCCACACTATGGAAAACCACGGCATCCTCTATAACGCCCTACAAGTATCTGTCAGAGAATTTGCAATTCCCACTGTGCTTTCGCTCCTCCCTCCCGCACTCTTCCAATGTACACCAAATATATCTGTTCCCTGAGTTTTCGAAAATTATGAAATTCTTGATACCCTTTTTCGTGTCAATCAAATACCTTTTGTCTGTCATACTGTGAAAGGTTTCAATCTCGAATTGCTTTTTCCACTACTCATATTACATATATATATAACACATGAGAGGTCTCTCATTTATAGTCTGCGTCGTATATTTATATTAGTGATTGAATATTTGGCCAAATAATGTTTCATTTAAAGAACATTTTTTTAATTTATTTTTTTAAAGTTTAGTTTCAGTGATAGATTTCTTCAAGTTTTCAAGAAATTTCTATAGAATCGTTCCTGAAGTTGCTGAAAAGATTTAAGGTTTCATGAAGTTTGTAAAAAGTAGGTTAAAATTTTTTTTTGACGAAATCTTCTGAAAATTCCATCAAGTTTCTAAAAGGTTTCGATAAACCAAATATTTCATTAAAGTTTCCATAGAATCCTCCATGAAGTTTCTAAAAAGTTGATCAAAAGTTCCTTAAAGAATGTTTTACGAAATCTCAATAAGGTTCTATGAAGTTTCTAGAAAGTTCCACCAAGTTTTAAGAAGATTTTCCAAAGTTTCTAAAAGATTTTATCAAGTAGCTTGAAGGTTTCATAAAGTTTCCAGAATGTTCCATGAAGTTTTAAGATTTTCCGAAGTTTCTAAAATATTTTATCCAGTTTCTAAAAGGTTTCATAAAGTTTCTAGAATTTTCTACGAAGATTTAAGATTTTCCGAAGTTTCTAAAAGATTTTATCAAGTTTCTAGAATGTTCCATGAAGATTTAAGATTTTCCAAAGTTTCTAAAAGATATTATCAAATTTCTAGAATGTTTCATAAAGTTTCTAGAATGTTCCATGAAGTTTTAAGATTTTCCAAAGTCTCTAGAAGGTTTCATAAAGTTTCTAAAATGTTCCATCCAGTTTTAAGATTTCTTGAAGTTTCTAGAATATTTCATAAAGTTTCTAGAATGTTTCATCATGTTTCCAGAATGTTCCATGAAGTTTTAAGATTTTCCGAAGTTTCTGGAAGGTTTCATAAAGTTTTTAGAATGTTTCATTATGTTTCTAGAATGTTCCATGAAGATTTAAGATTTTCCGAAGTTTCTAAAAGACATTATCAAATTTCTAGAACGTTTCATAAAGTTTCTAGAATGTTTCATCATGTATCCAGAATGTTCCATGAAGTTTTAAAATTTTCCAAAGTTTCTAGAAGATATTATTAAATTTCTAGAATGTTTCATAAAGTTTCTAGAATGTTCCATGAAGTTTTAAGATTTACCGAAGTTTCTAGAAGGTTTCATAAAGTTTCTAGAATTTTCCATCAGTTTTTAAGATTTCTCAAAGTTTCTAGAAGGTTTCATAAAGTTTCTAGAATGTTCCATTAAGTGTTAAGGTTTCTCGATGTTTCTAGAATGTTCCATCAAGTTTTAAAATTTCCTGAAGTTTCTAGAAGGTTTCATAGAGTTTCTATAATGTTTCATCAAGTTTTAAAATTTCCCGAAGTTTCTAGAAGGTTTCATAAAGTTTCTAGAATGTTCCAGCAAGTTGTAAGATTTTCAGAAGTTTCTAAAAGATTTCATCAAATTTCTATAAGGGTTCATAAAGTTTCTAATTAAAAATTATTATTAATTATTATGGAATTAATAATTCCATTAAAATTTCTACACAAAATTCCATAATGTTTTTAATGAATAAATTTTATAAAGAATGTTCCATAAAATTTTCAGAATGTTTTTGATAAAGTTCCATGAAATTTTTTGATATTTCCATCAAGTTTTGAGAAAGTTCATTAAAATTCAACCTATTCTAGTAGCTAAAAATTCACATTTAGTGTTCACCAGGTTTGTCAGACTGGGGAATAAAAATAAAGCTTAAAAAAGATTAAAAATAAAATTTTTAGAAAGTTATTTTCTACAATTTAAAAACCAATAAAAACAATATATTGTAAAATCGTAAAAATTTGTTCACAGGAAAACATATATACATGTTTTATTTCGTAAATATATGCGGATTAGTCATTGTGATTCTGCCGGATCTTTGCTTGTTGAAAAACGTATAACACTTTCTGGTCCATATATATATATATATAGGAAACAGAATCCGCGTATCATCCACGACTGAATAATCCTCTTGACACGTGAAACGAGTGGTCACAGCATGCGTCCTTTAAGCTCTCTCGGCGTATGTTTTCGCGCAAGACCCCTTCGCTTGGCTTAAAACTTGTGCCATATTTCAGCACAAAAGTTGCCAGCTTACCCAGGATTTTTTTTTCTTTTTTTTCAAAAAAAAAAAAAAAAAAAAAGAAAAAAAAAACTTTGTCGTCGCGAACTTTTCGTTCCTTAACCGTCGTGTCGGACTTTTGGCTTGGTTTCCACCGCGCGCAGAAAACTACGAAAGTCAACATCGCTAATAAACTGTCAGGACATTCGTAATTGATGTATTGCTAACCCGGGCTCGTTCATATATTTTTCACGTCAAACTCTCGTACCGTATCTTTTATTTTTCTGAAGGGAGAAATAAAGAATTTCTGACTGTCAAAAAACTATACTAAAAATGAAAATAATAGAAAGATTTCTTTTAAATTTAAATTTGATATTGTTGCAATCATTTTTTGTAATAAATGAAAGGTCTATATGACAGAAAATATCTGGACTCATTTTTGTTGTATTTCAAAGTGACATAGAACGTGGCGCCATCTACGAGGCACATTTTTTTTGCACTTCAAAATGTACCTGCGTACATTCCTTATTTTGTGCTCAGGTTTTTTCTATGTAATTGTTATTAATTAAGTATTTTTTTCTTCACATTTATTGACTTCTTAGACGAATAAAAAAATAGAACAAATAATGATATCTTGTACCTATTTTTGATTTACAAAATAATAGCGATTTCTATATATCGGATGTTTATTACATATAGTATAATAGTTCATGAAAAAGCAGAATTCAGATACTATATAGTAGATGGATTGGTTTGTATTTTCTCCCTTTCATTGTAGAGTGATGGATGAATATGAATTGCCAGTATATATAGTAATCCAAGCACATCAATATCGGAATGTTTAATTGATGTATGAAACATTGTGCAAAAAGTTTTTCACTAAATGATAGAAAATCTCATTGAACACGATGAAAATAATTAACAACAATTTATTACATTTTGATAGTAATTAATTTTTTTTTTTTGCAATAAAAATAATATATTATTCAATCATTCGATGTGAAAAAATATTCCTCACTACCGCGTATAATGTAAAGGAAACATTTTATTTCATATATGATTTACTTCCCCTAATTTCTTCCCCATAACGATAGTTTTTTTTTATTCTCTACTTTCTTTTGGTATGTTTTTTTTTCTTATGTTATCTATAAAGTTCACGGATCTCATTTAGAGAAAACTGTTATTATTGCAATAAAACTATTTTATCTGCTTCTTTATGGAACTGGAAGTCAAATTAATTTTCCTCTAAATCATCTCATTTAATAGTTTTGGAAAAATAATTTTTTTTTTCTAAAATACACACGCCTTGAAGAAAATGTTAAAGGTCAGGAAAAATTTGAAATTGAGGGGGTGAATTGGAATTTTTATTTTTCTTGAAAGTAGAAAAAAAAGCCCGCAGGAGACAGAGAGGGATTTGAATTTTTCTCAGTGGAAAAGTCTCTTGGTCCGATGGCCACGAAATTGAATATGAAAATTTTCTTCAAACCATCCTAGTATATATCTCGTTATTCATTCATATCTTTCAATTTCTTTTTACATTTTTATTATATGTAAACTCATAAATATACTCCTTGTGACAAAAAAATTTATTTTTTTACTTCTTTTTGAAAATTTTTTTTTTCTATTTGCAACTTATTAATAATAAATTTTTTTCATGGGAAAAATAATAATCTTTTTTTGTTCAAAAAAAAACTGTATTTTTATTAACCTATATTTTTACAGAGAAAAATTTTTTTATAGAAAATTTACTATTATTGCTGAAAATAAAACATTCTGGAACTTCTCATAAATATTTTGTAGATATAGGATTGGATGATAAATTTCAAAAGTTTCACTAGCATTTTAATGGAGCTTCCTTTTCTTTTTGTATATGTCTTTTTTTTTTTTTAAAGAATGTATCGCAATCTTTTGAATAGGTTAACAAATTTTCAAAATGTCCCATCTAAACACTAAAATAATTCAAAAAAAAAAGGAAAAAGTTTGAAATTTTTATCAGGATTTATCTTTCGGTCACATTCAACATGAATGCTTTATGAACATTGCATACACTGAATTTAATATTTTACTTTATTTTTTATGTTATACATTAATTAAAAAAAAAAAAAATTTGTGTTTTTATTTTTAAAAAGAAGGAATTTAAAAATTTATTTTTCACAAAAAATTTGATTGAAACAATATATTTTATATTTTTTTTATAATAATAGAAGTTATTTTTATTATTATTTAATTTATCTTTTGTGTGGTGAAAATTCGAAAATTAAAACTATAAGCAGAAAAGAGCGAGTGGAATAAAAGATTTTTCTGGTCCTTTTGTTTCAGGGTCTTCTTGGTTTCAAGGATATGGATAGCCTTATCTGCGGACGAAAACTGCACCGGACGTGGTCACAATGCCAGGATCACCAATACAAGGTTTCAGGTATTGTACGCTTTACCCCTCTGGGGATAAAATTACTCTTGCTTTCTATCTTTCATTCCCTCCCCCTCCCCCCTCTTGTGCTCTTCATTTTGCAGCGACTTCCTTCCCTCTTTATTCGCGCTTTGAATCCTCCTTCCGTTATACATATCCGGTAGAAGGCCTTTTTTTCCGTTTTTATCTCTGTATATTTTTTTTTATATTATAAGAACCAGAGAAAGTACACGCGACATTGACACTTTTTTTTTTTATTTCCGGTAATATTTCTCGAAAATGCTCCTTAAAGAAAAATATTTATAAAGTCAAAAAAAATAATATTAAATCAAGTTTAAGTAAATTTTAAATATATCACAGAAAAAATTTGGATTAATTTTTTGTTGCACTTCAAAATATGTAGCGTACCTTACTCATTTTGAGCTCAGGTCTACTATTTAGTAGAGAATGGGGATAAATTTTTCGGAAAATTATTTACAAAAAAATTCTACAAAAAATTTTGGTAACAAAAAATAAAAAAATAAAGATGATCAGCGATTAAGAATCAGATTCTTTGAAATTGACACCATGTGCACTTTGTAACTTGAACTAGGGAAGTACTTGAACGTGTTTACTCCCGTTAAAAAGTTTGAAAGAAAAAGTATATTTTTATTTTTTGTCGTTTTAGCAGCTTTATTTCGTAACATCTATAGTATTGTGACCAGGAACGTCCAATTTTTATATATATCTGTTGAGAGAAAGAAAAAAAAAAGGATCCGTTTTGTCAAACATTTGCGATTCTTGCCTTTCTTTCTTGTGTCTCTTGCATCTCTCTCTCTCTCTCTCTCTCTCTTTCAAAAACTCTGCGCACGTGTGCGTGCTTTTCTCGTAAAGTTCGGCTAAACTTTAACAAAACTTTCGTAAAATCTAGCACAAGCTTTCGAATTAGTTTTGCAAGTCACGGATGTTGCGCTTCTTCTCTTCTGTACCACCTAGCGCCCCCCCCCCTTTCTTTACTTCCCTCTTTTCTGTACGATAAGAACATTTGAGAATTTTCGCACTTTAAAAAGTATTGGCTGACACACTTTGAAACTACGCCTTATAACTTTGACTGAAAGAACACTATAAGAAACAAAGTTACTTATATACTTGGATATTTTAGACAAAGCATTCTTATAGATGACATTTAGGACATATTTTCAATTTTAAGATAATTTAATATATATTGTATGCACTGAAAAAAAATTATTTGATTCAAATAATCGGTTCTATTATCAAGTGAATATATTTATTATGAGCCGTTGAATTTAATCTTCCGAGAGGTTAAAGGCAGTGGATTCTGCGTCTGCGCAGAATGTTTGCTTCTGCGGAGTAGAATATATATACTGCCTTTAACCTCCTGAAAGATTAACTCATATGGTGAAAACCGGCTCTATTTGAGTCAAGATATTTGTTTCAAATACAGAAATTATTCATTCAAATACCATAGTTAATTTAATTCAATTATTTGGTTTCAAAAATAGTTTCAAAATAGTTTCAAAAATTATTTGATTCAAGTAAATATTTATTGGATCAACAAACGGATTATTTGAATGAAATAAATTTTTTTTCAGTCTGTAAATATTTGTATAAAACGAAATTACAAATTGTGAAAAGAAAATTTTGTCAATATTCGGATAGGTCAATATCGTTTTTGACTTGGAAGAAAGGAATTTGCCTATTAATTTTTATAAGAAGGTACTTAAGTAGAACGTAGATTTTTTTTTTTTTTTTTTTTTGCCGGAAAAGAGTGATTCACTAACGAGCTGTTTTTTTTAAAAAGATAAAGACTCGTTATAATATAAGGAATAAGAGAACAAAATCTTCCTCTCTCACTGGACTTAAATATAATTTTCATTAAAAATGAATCTTCCTATTTTTGTTTTACCATTCATAAAAAGAAAATGACTAATTATTGTCAAAAGACGAATCTCTCAGTTCTTATATATAAATAGCAAGCTTTAATAAGGTATTTTCCATTTCCAAGTACATATAGGCTTTATTGGCTTGCTTGAAACAGAGGCGCACTAATTTAGAGAAAGCTTGCATCAGAATTATTTAGCCTAGTTTGAGCCTAGTTTGCCAGGTTGTATATATGGAGTTCTCTTGGCTTATATATATCTCGTATTTCACATGAAACAACAGGAAACGTTAGAAAACGGTTTTCTCTGACACGCAATTAAACGAGACGTGTGTCATGTTCGAAGTCACTTGCTCTTGTATGCATTTACAATATACATAAATGTCATACAGTTGCATTCCAGTTTGCATTTGTATTGTTCCTTTACATTGTGTCTATATTAATCATATTCTTGGAATTTCGGTTCATTACACTGTATATTTCATATTCTTTTTTTTTAGTACAGAATCAGAAATAGTTTCTAAAATCTTTCTAGTATCGTTTTTTTAACTTTCTTATAATTTCTTGTCATATTTTTCCCTATAGTAAAAACCAATTTTATGCGGCAGTAGAATATACGATGTTTCTTTTAATTTTTGGTAAACTTCAATTTTATTATTTATACTTTTCTGTATGGTAAAAATGAATATACGGTGGAATCTATTATTTCCTTTTCTTTTAATTGGTGAGCAACTTGAATTCTATTTCAAATAGAAAAGAAAGTTTTGCATTTCTTGAGAATTTCTGCTGTTGAGAAAGAAATAAAAGGTCTTAAGTAAAACTCGTTTCGCTTATATGCAAACATGTAACGCACACATACACATAATGTGAATCGTTCGATAAGGGTATATCGAATGGGAGTTGGAGGATTTTTGTAGTGCGCATAATAGGTGCAAACAGCACTCTAAAAAGGGTCGAATTCGAAGGAAGGCGCGTATAATGTGATCTTCATGCAATTGGGTATATAGAGAGGAACGTTTGGGTGGATTTGAGTGAAATTTGAATAAAAATACAGTCACATCCTCCCCCCCCCCTTTCCTCGAGAGAGAGAGAGAGAGAGAGAGAAAAAGGGGGGTAGGTTGAATCCTCAAGCGAAAATAAAACTTGAAACCCAACGCGGATAGTATTCTGACGCTGAAGAATAGCTAGATTTTCCAATACACGCTACTAGATTCCGGATCACGTCCTTTCCTACATCCTACCCACTTGACTATTCCGGTATCCACCTTTCTGACACTTCACACCCTCTCTTTCTCTCTCTCTCTCTCTCTCTCTGACTTTATTCACACCCAAACCACTTCCGTTGACCTGTCCTTGATCTTTTATCTATTTTCAAATTTTCACACTTTTGTGTGTGTATCTATATAGTGTCGATCGTATGAAACATTTATATTGTTATCTACATAGAAGTTGGAATGATATTGTAGGATTAAAAATGTTTTTCTTTGTAAATTTAATTGAAGAGAAAATATTTAGTAAAGTGTGGCGAAATAGAAAGATTTAATAACTCCTTTGACGAGTAGTGGCAAAAGTAAATTTTAAATTCGCAAAAGTAAATTTTGTAGTGGTAAAAGTAACTTGACAATGATAAAAGTAACTTGCCAGTGATGAAAGTAAATTTTCCAGTGAAGAAAGTAACTTTACAGTGACAGAAAACCATGTTAGTTGAGAAACTAGATTAGTATTGACAAAGGTAACTTTATAGTCACGAAAATAGATTATGCAGTGACGAAAGTAACTTGACAATAACGAAAATAAATTTTTTAGTGGTGAAAGTAACTTAACAATAACGAAAGTAAAATTTACTGTGACGAAAGTAACTTAACAATGACGAAAGTAAAATTTACTGTGAGAAAAGTAACTGAACAATGACGAAAGTAAAATTTCTGTTACGAAAGTTACTTAACAATGACGAAAGTATAATTTACAGTGAAGAATGTACCTTAACAATGACGAAAGTAAAATTTACAGTGACGAAAGTAACTTGGCAGTGACGAAAGTAAAATTCACAGTGACGAAAGTAACTTGGCAGTGACGAAAGTAAAATTTACAGTGACGAAAGTAACTTGGCAGTGACGAAAGTAAAATTTACTGTGACGAAAGTAATTAATCACTGACGGAAGTAAAATTTCTGTTACGAATGTTACTTAACAATGACGAAAGTATAATTTACAGTGACGAATGTAACTTAAGAATGACGAAAGTAAAATTTACAGTGACGAAAGTAACTTGGCAGTAACGAAAGTAAAATTTACTGTGACGAAAGTAACTTAACAATGACGAAAGTAAAATTTACTGTGAGGAAAGTAACTTAACAATGACGAAAGTAAAATTTACTGTGACGAAAGTAACTTAACAATGACGAAAGTAAAATTTACTGTGACGAATGTAACTGAACACTGACGAAAGTAAAATTTCTGTTACGAAAGTTACCTAACAATGACGAAAGTAAAATTTACTGTGACGAAAGTAACTTAACAATGACGAAAGTAAAATTTACTGTGAGGAAAGTAACTGAACAATGACGAAAGTAAAATTTCTGTTACGAAAGTTACTTAACAATGACGAAAGTATAATTTACAGTGAAGAATGTACCTTAACAATGACGAAAGTAAAATTTACAGTGACGAAAGTAACTTGGCAGTGACGAAAGTAAAATTCACAGTGACGAAAGTAACTTGGCAGTGACGAAAGTAAAATTTACAGTGACGAAAGTAACTTGGCAGTGACGAAAGTAAAATTTAATGTGACGAAAGTAACTTAACAATGACGAAAGTAAAATTTACTGTGACGAAAGTAATTAATCACTGACGAAAGTAAAATTTCTGTTACGAATGTTACTTAACAATGACGAAAGTATAATTTACAGTGACGAATGTAACTTAAGAATGACGAAAGTAAAATTTACAGTGACGAAAGTAACTTGGCAGTAACGAAAGTAAAATTTACTGTGACGAAAGTAACTGAACACTGACGAAAGTAAAATTTCTGTTACGAAAGTTACCTAACAATGACGAAAGTAAAATTTACTGTGACGAAAGTAACTTAACAATGACGAAAGTGAAATTTACTGTGACGAAAGTAACTTAAC